GCACATTCAAAGTACATCTAAGGAACACGGCACAAAACATAAAAATTAGACTTAAACTTTGCAAAGCCATCAGCTCGATGTAATAATAAATTGAACACAAAAAGAAGCAATACTTGAAAAGTGCCACATCAACTTTTTAAATGAGCAAATGATCATTAGTAGTGTGTGTTAATCATAATCATAACTTTGTTGAATAGTTTTACTTTAAAAGAATTGCTTTTTGCAGTTTCCAGACAGCCATTCTTTGCTCATTGATGTGAAGCAGAGCTTGCTTGGCAGATGGGCGCCTGTAAATGAGCTTTTCTGGCACCAGCACCAACATCACTAGCCCTGGCATGTACACCTTAATAGCACACGTAGTGCAGGCGAATGGCAGTGCAAAAAAAACCAACATTATTATTTGGAGGTGGATAGAACGAAACAAAAGTTACAGGCTTTAATAAGAAGCCATCGCACCGGCGTGCAACCGGAGCTGCTGAATCTAAGATTAATCACAAGCGTGAACAAAATGCAGACACAAATAACACCGCCCTTGACGGCAAGTGTATACTCATTAAGAACTCTCTTTGTACCATTTGCAATGGAACAGTGAACAGGAAGAAGAACGAGAAAAAATGCGACTGCATCTCATTTCGGCCTGCCGCATCATCTGCATGCCCTCCTTAAATTCAGTCAATAGAACTACAAAGCTTAAGTCAATAACAACCGTTTGTAGATGGCTTCACTAAATTAGAGTCTCACTATCCCGCTAAACACAGCAATCTGGTAGTTGGGAAAACAACTTTTCAACTTTAAATAAAAAAAGATTTTCATTTGCACGGAAAACACATGTTTAGTCAATGTGCCTTTGGAAAGAAAGTGAAAAGTGTAGTAACTAAGCAAATCACCAATAAATTGCTGATATAAAAAATATAGCATAATCTCCTTAAATCCATTGTAGATAGTGTGCAAGTTCAAGGATGACATTGAAAGTATTATTACATTTTTAGCAAAAAGATAAATTGCCATATTGCATTATTCTGCCTCTTCATTTAGCTGTGAATTGATTCGATTACATGCTGTTGTTCATCAATGCCCTCAAACAGTCCATTATGCAACCTTTTGCTGTTTACTTGCCACTGGACACAATTGTCGCCCTAAGTGCGCCTTAATGGCAGTCAAGCTGCCAAAGTGGCTCAAATTGCATACGGCAGTCTCCGACTACATGAGAAAGTAGTCGTAGTGGGCTGAAATGCTCTCAACAATGCCAACTGGTAGTCATAGTCCAATATACCAGGCTGATTGTTGTTCACGGAAACTGCTTCTTCACAGTATAAGGCAGTGCTCAGTGAAGAGGACAAGTGAATTTTCCACCTTTAGTTTGCCGTGTTGGTTTGCGGAACCAGACAAACTTGCGTGACAAATATTGCCAACATCGGCTTTACTTTTAGCAGAACNGCTGCTTCTTCACAGTATAAGGCAATGCTCAGTGAAGAGGACAAGTGAATTTTCCACCTTTTATTTGCCGTGTTGGTTTGCGGAACCAGGCAAACTTGCGTGACAAATATTGCCAACATCGGCTTTACTTTTAGCAGAACACTTTTTTTACTTTTGGTCTGTTATTCTTGTTCTGTTGTCTCACTCGGCTAATCTCAGGAGGCCGGTAGGCAGAAAAACGCATGCTACGAGATGAGAATTTGAAAAATTGGAACAAAACAAAAGGTCGTGATCATTAAGATTGAGACTGAGTTAAAGTTGGCCAGGATAGTTTTAACAGTTCTGCCGCCAATGATTACTTGAAATGCACTATTGCGCTCATCAAATGCTGGAAATTTTTGTAACTTTCACTAAAATTTCAAAAGTGATTTGACAGCAATTAGACTACTGAGTGATGGCACTAATCGGCTCAATGTATCAGCATCAGCACCAAAGTACAGCTGCGAGTGTACTGCTTTAGTGTATTTTTGTTGGCACTTCTCTAAGATCTAACTATCTTGACGTTCTGCTTATTTGTACAACAGGCGAATTACTGATTCTCAAGACTTTTCACTTGAGCGTTCTTTCATAAAACGTGTGCTGAAACAAGGGAAGCGTCTAAAGTCTATTGTTTGCTTGTCAGTGGCTTTTCTTCGGTCGATGGAGACCACGTCAGTTGTTCCTGCGGTCGGTCAGCATTAGCGCCACTTCATTGAGTACTTGAACTGAGAACTCATTGTTTGCTGGACAGCACCGCAAGTCAACAATTGAACTTTTCAGTTTCACAGCAGCCATAGTTGAAGCGGCAAAAACAAAAGACCGCTGAATCGGCGAATGCGTGAACTTGCACTAACCAAAATGATCATGATCATCACTTTGAACCACTCAGTCAGAATAGGCTCAGGATTGAGATTGAGCTGTTAGTGTCGCCTATTTGTTTGACTCATAAAATCAGTTAACTTTCCAGCTGCTAATTGAATGAACTCTCTAATCGAAAAAACTGGCAATGGTTTCTATACAGGCTAAAAGCAATCGGACGTGAATTGAGCTTGCAGCAACGGTTGAACGTGACTACTGAAGGAGAAAGCCACTAACATTAATAATCGATAATAAACTGATTACATAATCGATGCTCTGAAAAGCTAAACAGAGTCCTGGTAGTAGAATAGATAGGCTGAACGGCAAACATACGAGTTTACCCTCCATTTTAGTGCCAGTGTCGTGTCACTTGCCTGCACTGATGGGTAGAAAAAAATACTCCCGCTTATCGTTACAGTTCATATTACTCCTCCTATAAAAAAGAGAGCTCACAAATATTTATACATGCAAAATGTCAAACAAAACATNAAGGCTGAACAGCAAACATACGAGTTTACCCTCCATTTTAGTGCCAGTGTCGTGTCACTTGTCTGCACTGATGGGTAGAAAAAAATACTCCCGCTTATCGTTACAGTTCATATTACTCCTCCTATAAAAAAAGAGAGCTCACAAATATTTATACATGCAAAATGTCAAACAAAACATTAATAGAAAACAGAAAAAACAAATACAGTTCAATTGATTCTCAAATGTTCAATTTCCTAAACCACTAAACAAGCAGATGCAGCTGTCACAGCGGTGTTTGTTTCCGCCTTTACCGGTTTCCCAACTGCAGTAAAGAAGAGCACAATTACTTTAAATAATCAGGCCCACGATCACGTCTAAGAAGATTCCTGATTGTCTCTGATCACCCTCCCAACTGGGCTTAGATAGTAAACTGATCAGTGCACAAATCTGTTGTTTTCTCATTTTGCGGTAAAGGAAAAGTCTCAATTTAAAAAGAAAAATGGGGTCATAATCGCTTTAAAGTTCAGTTGTTCGTTAGTAATTGGCCTGTAGTGGATGTACGAGTGGAGCAGGCAGAGCGCATTGAAGCGACGCTGAATGCAATGCTGCCTTCTGCTGAACACGAACATGGCCGTTTCAGTTGTCTGCCACGCATAGACAGTCCTTCGGAGGAGGCAACTATTTATTGGCAGAGTCAATATAAATGGCGATAAGCTTTTAAATGAAAAGCCTCTGGGAAGGGGAGAGAAGAAACGCGGAATTGCGGCTGCATCTGCAGGAAGAAGAGCCAGTTCGTAGAGACTCTATTAGCAGGGAATGGATTAATCACCAGCCAAGTGGGAAAGCGGACCGGCTCGCCATCAGCTGCAATCTCCTACAATGGCATCATTTATCATTAACGCAAGTATCCAGACGTCGAATTCGAATTAACGTCCCTTAAAGCAGCTAGCACAAAACTGGGACTGGCAATTGAACTGAAAGATTCCGATTGTAATAGAGAGCGGGGCAGATTGTTTCCTATTGATTGCCTAAACCAGAAGGAACACAGACACAAAGACGGAGGCAACAAAGTCAATCAAAGTTGGGCAGATAAGATGCCTAGCAGTGCAGCTAACAAAAGCACTGCCAAACAGAAACAGTTACCGCACAGTACCGTCCTCAATAGTGCACTGCTGAACGTGACTTGAGACACCCCGGTACAGGAAAAAGTGTTGCCAAAAACCGCCGACAGCAGGTCAGCAAAGCTGTACGGTGCTCTTTTTAAATTGAAATTTTTCAACTGTTCAGATCAGTGACGATCTGTTCAGTGAACTGTGTAGACGGTTGATTGATTCCTGGTAGTGGCACACTGGACGTGCTACTACGGGTGGGAAACCATTCTGCACAGAAAGCAAACAGATGACAGTACCAATCGCCAAGCATGACAAATGGAGTCTGTAAAACGAAATATCCTGCTCAAACAGATCAATGAAAACAAGGCAATCACGGCAACACACACACAAACTGCCAATCAAGGTACAGCATAAGAAATCATAAAAAGCTTATCTATAAAGTTAGTGAGAAAAATGCTTATGAAAAAAAAGTTATTGAGTTTTTTCTAAGAAAAAAGTGACCTCAGTGAGCGAGTGATTGAAGTTATTTTTCGTTTCAACATGAAAAAGCACTACGAAAGTTTTATAAAGTAACATTATCACTAGCTCATCACAGGTAAAAACTCATTTTCATTTTAAGTTGTCTTTTAGAACATTTCATTTTCAGGCTCGAATCTCCGATTTCGTCAGTGGCTTCACCTAGGTTTTTCGCATGACCGAATTTGGCCTGGCTCTCAACTTTCACCTGAAGACATTTTGCCTGATCATTGGCAGCAAAACCAAAGAAAGCTAGAAGCTCAACATTGCACTCAAAGTGGCGGGAATTCAAATTAGCCTCCTTTTGACGAAACATCAGATAATGGATTTTAACCGGTTCATCCGTTTCTTGCGAGTTTTAACTGAGAACATTAAGCGACAGGTACGCTACATCGTCGATGGTATAATTTATTTGACGCTCCCATCTCAGTCCAAAAAGTTGATTAAGAAACATTCATTTTTTATACAATCAAGTTAAAAAACTACAAAATCGTTTTTAATTTATCATGAGCACCACAAAAAGTAAGGCAAGACTAGAAAAATGTGACTAGAAAAAATGTAAAAATGTTCTTGAAAAATGCAGATGACTTCTCAAACTTCTGTGGCACTGAGAAACCAACTAGGCGCTACCTTCTGCAACCACTCATCTATTGAGCGACCCGATTCGGTGTCCAATGACCTCTCAGAGATAATAATGTAGAGAGAAACCAAAAAGCCTATTAGAGATGCAAGATATATGTTGTGACGGAAGATGATACAGGGCACAGCGGTGAGACCGAGATAGGTGACGTAACGGGCCGGGGAAGCATGGGCAGGGAAAGCTGGTTTCGGGTTTGGGTTCACGCATACTCCATTCTGCAGTTTGTGGCCTTTTGCACACTTGATGCAGGCATCAGGCCCATCGCCAATGCACGAGTCACAGGCGTTGTCGCACTCTAAAGTTAAAGTTTTGGAATAAAAGCAGAATAGTGTAGAGCATTTGGCTTACCGTAACACTGATAGGATCCTTCGGTGTTGATGCAAAAGGTGTTCCTCGAGCAAGTGTGCGTTCCAGTCTCAGGGTCACACTCGTCAATGTCAAAACAGCCGAAATTATTATCCCAGGCGTAGCCTTTCTTGCAAACATGACAACCACGAGGTCCACCGGCGAAACACGTTTCCGCGCAGCTAACGTCACAGTGCAAACACTGAATGTTGCCGTTTGAATTACCCAAAGTCAGGTCTTGGTAAAAGGCTTTATCGCATTTGCTGCAATCCTTTCCGGTGTAGCCTTTTCGGCAAACACAATGTCCGTTTCCTAATCTGGTTCCTGCGCCGGCACATTTTCCATTGTTGGAGCAGATATTATTTGGAAATCCAATACACGGCAGACATTCAGCACCATAATGGCCATCTGGACAACAGCTTTTCAGCGTGCTAATGCAAAGTGAGTTGAAGATTACATTGCCGCTTGAGACTTCCGAGGTAGCAATGTCTGTAGCGCATGGAGTCGCCCACCAACTCAAAATGATGTCCTTATTTTCAGCAGCTAGTGAACGGCACTACGAAAGAAGGGTTAAATACATTTTTTTCCCAATCGGTGCCGTTACTTACATCTTCTTGACCTGTTTTGATGTCAAAGCAAAGTTTGTCCCACAACTTTGAAAACTCTACGTTTGTTTTAATCTCGTTCAACTTGTCAATGGTGCCCAAAAAATTCTTGTCCGGTCTACTGTCTGTAATGTTCTTTAGGTTCTGTAAATAAACAGTTCAGTTATTCTGCAACCACAAATATTACAAAACCAACAGACCTCGTACATTGAGTTACTCAGCAGCCGACACCTTGTGCACTTGCCCAACACGGAATTGTTCTTCTCTTTGTGTGGTATTGTTGTCAAAGATGGTGTTTTATTGACAGGTTCTTGCAGAGCGTTACCGGTGTTTTCACCGGAAACTCTGACGCTACAATCCCCATCAACAGCAGATATTTTTAAAAGTGTCAAAAATACACTCGAGTACAATAGAAGCATATCGAAGAAGGTGTTTAGCAATTTTGAATGAAATATTTTATACGAAAATCACGGGGCCAAAATGCCTCCATATGGAATGATCCATTTGAGACGTTTGCCCATTCTGCCCATTCTGCCGATTCTGCTCAAAAGTCAATTTTTGGTCATACGTCTTCTGTGAGTAGTCATCATACACGTTTTCAGAATCAAAATGTAAACACTGCTTTTGTCAACGTTTGTAAATGTTCTTCATTTATTCCCAAATGCCAAAAACCCGGCTTCCGTCATGTCAAAAGCACCAACTGCCAAGAAAATCACACCTTCTTCAGGATCGTTAAGCCCCAACCGACTGCAAACAGTTACTTTGTCGGCTGCTTACAACATCATCCTTCAGATCTCACTACGTGTAGTAACATTCATATCAAATGCCTTCATTTTGCGGTACATCAGTCAGGACGTTCTCGGACTCATCAATGTCAGACTTTTGCTTCTCTATACGACAATCCAATTTACAAGCCGAGAAGCTTTTAGACGGTCCTGTGCTCCGAAATCAGTTGATTCTAAAGAAACTACTCGGTGGTCTGAAGTTGTTAATGTCACCTACCTGACTGTACCGTTTTCCGTGATTGTTGGATTATTTTTCTGCACTGTCTGGTACCATTTAGAACAGCCCGAAGAAAAGTATGTCTTACACTACTGGTATGGCATGGTCTCCATCTTCAGCTCCGTTGTTATTGAACAACTTGCCGAATCATGCTTCATCTACGGTCAACGAAATGATTACATTCGCCTGAAGGTGGTCATTGAAGGAATCTTTCAGCTTGTTCGCTGTTTAACGATTTCGTCAACAGTCGCTTTATCTCCTGAAAATGCAATATTTGGATTTGCAATTGCTCAATTTTTGGCGTCAACAATTTACTCGGCGAGTTACTTTATCTACTTTATTTTCATTGATGGTCAATCTATGAGAAAATTCCTTCCTTCCTTTGGGCGTCAATCCCTGAATACGACTTTGTTTCAAACCACTCTGAGTTTTATTCAAAATACCGCTCTCAAGCAGTTTCTCACTGAAGGCGAGCGTTATGTTATGACGTTTTATCCCGTTATCACTCTTGCTGAGCAGGGTGTGTACGATACTATCAATAACCTCGGATCACTGCCTGCACGTTTGATATTCCAGCAAATTGAAGAGAACTCCTATCTTCTTTTCTCGAGTATTGTCAAGAGGGAGCTGCCAATTGAAAAGCAGAAATCAGAAATCAGAGAATCACTAGATATTTGTGCAAAACTGGTTCGCTTCATGTTTCTCTTCAGCCTGTTGCTTTTTGTGTACGGCTTCAACTGCGCCCAACTGGCTCTATATTTATATGGCGGAGGTAACTTTGTCTCCGGATCTTACGGTGCACTGGCAGTCCAGCTTCTTCAGTGGCACTGCTTTTACATAGTCTTCATCGCTCTAAATGGAATCCTCGAATCGTACTCATTTGCAGCCATGTCTACCCAAGCTATGAGAGCTTTCAATTTCAAGATGCTCGCCCTTAGCGGCGCCTTTCTAGTCGTTTCACTGCAGACCACCGCATCCTTTGGCAGCCAGGGATTCATCATTGCCAACTGCCTGAATATGGCCCTGCGAATCGTCATCAGCGGCCGTTTTATTGGGAAGCTTGCAAACTCAACACTGTCTTTTGCGCGACAGTGTCTACCAGACCTAGTGACATTGCTATCCTTCCTCTTTGTCTTTCTTGTACTTCGCAGCACACGCATTTTTCTTCTCTCCGAGCTGCTTTTTAGAAAAAGTTTCGCCACTGTGTTGCAGCAATCTGCCATCTTTGTGCTCTCTGTGGGAGCGCTTTTTGTTTGTCAACTTATCTTCATTGTCTACCGCGAAAGAGACTTGGTGAACTTTATTCGCACTCAAATACTACGCCGACGGGCCGGAGAGGAGAAGGCGAAGAAGTTGTGAATTACAACTTGTGTAAAAAGGAAATGGTGGTGGACGAATGAATAAAAATGAACCATTCCAGTGATGATCAGCGTTTCTTGGGTGCCACCATTGACACAAAGAGACCGCGCGACGGCGGTCAGCTAATCACGCGAGGAATCAGGTTACTGTCGTCGTGGTCGTGGTCGTCGGTGTACATGTCGCAATCAATCATCGCACCCGTCATCGACAGCAGCACACATGGCTTTGTCATTAGTCTGCCGCACTAGCCATTTTTCGGTTATTGGCAGTTGATGGTGTGGTCAGTGCCAGTGATGNTTACTGTCGTCGTGGTCGTGGTCGTCGGTGTACATGTCGCAATCAATCATCGCACCCGTCATCGACAGCAGCACACATGGCTTTGTCATTAGTCTGCCGCACTAGCCATTTTTCGGTTATTGGCTGATGGTGTGGTCAGTGCCAGTGATGGAGATCAGTCCAGTTCGACCACTGTCCTCAGCATGCAGCTACACCGAAAACGAAAGGTTGTCAGCAGCAGCAGCACCGGTTTTGCTCAGGGATCCAGCGTTTCGGCCAAGTCAGTCGGGGGCACCTTGTCGGCGCACAAGCAACGCCACCGAGCCATTGCCAATGCTCGCGAACGCGATCGCACCGAGTCAGTGAACTACGCCTTCACTATGCTGCGCAGTCTACTGCCAACTGATCCGCCGAATCGAAAGCTGTCCAAAATTGAAGTTCTCCGTTTGGCCACCTCCTACATTCAACACCTAGACAATGTTCGCTCTGCAATGTAAGTCATCTTCACCCTTAATTGCACCGTCAATTAATTGCGATCATTATTATGGTGCTCTCCCCATTTAGTTTTCAGGGAAACACTACGAGTGACATTTGTGCAAAGAGCGGCAAATCATTCTGCACTTTCTGCATCACCGCATCGAAGAATACATGTGTCGCCGGCGTGGTGGCACCCACTCAAGTGAAGAACACTGCTGCTGCTGACCACTGTGCCCCGCTGGTGTGGACTACCTTTGACCCCTGCTCTGGCAGTGGTCTTCTCTCAGTGGAATTGGCAGCCACAGATGCTCTCCATGATGTAAATCAGCAGCAGTCACTAGAGCAAGTGGAAGACGTCATCTACG